CTGCATACCTCGGGTACCGTTGTCGTTGTCGCAGTCCCTTCAATTGCCTTCGCTTTTCCTTTTCCTTGCGACTTCGTACCCATTCCGCCAAGGATAACATTCATTAGGGAGCGGTTCATGGCCTGAAATACAAAAAAAAAGTTAGAGCGATATTTGATTTCTCAGTGAACATATTATCCAACCTTGCACATGATGTACGATAGGATAGCTCCGGAGCTTCCAATTAGGGCACCAACAATTGTGAGCAAGTCGTTATCAAGCATGAAACCTTCGGCGCACAATGCCCATCCGGAATAACTATTCAGGACTGTTATGACAACAGGCATATCGGCACCTGAAAAATATGTCACTTAAGAGATAAAAACTAAATAAGCAAATATAAGCTTTGCCTCCAATTGCCATCGTCAGCGTGACTCCCATAATACTACTCAATCCAGCTGTTGTCCCAAGCATACTCAATCCTGTGCTAAAATCAGGATTTGTCATATACAGGGCTAATGCTGCGCCATTTCCAGCTAGAAGCGCGCTATTGAGAAGATGGCGTCCGGGTAGATGAACGGCGGCAGAACTTAAGATACCTGAAAAAGACGTTCATACCTTCTCACCAGGTGGCAAAAGACAAGCAAGTTACCTTGAAGCTTTCCGTATGCCATCAGACTTCCAGTAAACGTCACCCCACCAATAAAGGCTCCAAGGAAAAGAGAAGTCTTTGCTGCTGCGGTGCCTTAAATCTTGTTTTTGAAGTAAATATTAATTGTACAAACTCTCAATATCCTACCGCTTGGATCAACAAGGAAATGCGGATGTTCCACCATGAAATCTGCTAAGCATGTTAAAGTTGCAGCTAAGCCTACGAATGAATGAAAAGCTGCCACAAGTTGGGGAAGATCGGATACCTTAAAGACGAATATTTGGCGTTCAATTTGCAAAGCAATTAGAGACAATTTTGAAAGATACCTTTATCCTGTGAGCAATTCCTAAGCCAATAAGAGAGCCCAGGCCGATTGCACTTCCCATCTGTATAAGTGTGTCATGGTCAGGATTCAAGATGCCTAACGTTGACGCAATGCCTCCAGCTACACCCGTCATACCTATACAAAATAAATTAGAGTTTTTTTTACAAAGAGATAGTAGTTATTTACAAAAACTCTTGGAACGGAATCAGGAGCTGACAATAGAGATTTCATTCAGCTTAACTGGGACATACTCGCCATGTTCTTTACTAAATTCAGCCCAATTTAAATTATTTAGTATACATCCAATCAGTGCGAAAACTGTTCGCTTTAAGCGACCCAAATATAATTAATTCATATTGATTCGTTACTACAATTATTCGTGCTTCTTAATTATAACTATCTTCACCACGCTCTGTATCTTTCATAT